TATGGCTTGACCTGATCGTTTGTTATTCATTCACTTCTACTTCAAGCTATACAAACTGCTTTTAGCGTGAAAAGTTGTCGTAAAATTCAACTTTAACGTTTTCACTTTTAAAAAAATAAAATAATTGGTTGGCTCATTAAAGTGGATTAAATGTTATATGCCCGTGGTCTGATCAACACATATGGTATACTTTGTTTTTTCTTAAACCCATTTGACTCTAAACAGAATAGATAAGTTTCAGATTTAAAAAAAAAAATTATTCGATAACCCTTATCATCATAAGTCTCTCTACTTTAATTCAAGTCACTCTAATTACTTTCAACTCACGTTACTTACTTTCATACTCAGTTTTGTCAATTTCTTCAACCAGCTTCTTATAGTCAAGGTCCCAAAGAATTTTCAAAAAGCTTGAATAGAATTTATGCGACCTTTTAACACTGTCAAGCAGTCGATACATGGCTCGGCCTTGCCCGGAATAGGTATTCCTTGCTCGAATCTAACGATAGAATGGGCGGAAAAAAACTGTTAAAACAAGTTGGCTCAGTGAAGAACTGTCGCTTTTTGGAATTTCAAGCATCCGGTCGTCACATTGTTAGATGGTGCAGACTTCGCAGGACGACATCACCAGGCCAGGGATTTTTCTTTATGAAGATAACCTGAACCCCTAGACAGCGAATCGCTTCTCTCCACGCATCTGGATAAGCAAAAGCGACACCAAATCTGTATGATACAGCTTGGCACCATTAGAGAAGCTGGTGATGTTTTTTTCTTGGCTTTGACTTGGTCTTAGATGTGTATTGAACTTTAGACCACAAGCTTGGGATTGACTCGGCCACCCAGCACCCAAGTGATTTAGTATTTAACCTTCCACAGAATCGTTATGTATGTAACAAAATAGTATTTTAGTTTTTAAACAGTTTTTTAAGAAATCGATTGACATATGTTTACTTTTCAACAAGATTAAATCATTATTTATCGATTTATGTATAGATTATGCTAAAAGGAATTATGTCGCTGTAAATTTAAGATTTTACACTAAAAGTTGCTTGGGCTAAACTATGCTAAACTGAGCTAAACTGAGCTAAACTTGGCTAAACTGGGTTAAAATAGGCTAAACTGAGCTAAACTAGGCCCAACAGGGTATTCGTTGTTTTACTTTATACTTCTCATTTGATTTAACAGAAGTGTTTTATGATTTATATATATTGTGTCGAATTTAATTTTTTATTCGACACAACTGTGGCTATTTTTGAAAAAAGGTTACCCACCTTGATCTAGCAATGAGCATTCAATACGGATTCGCTTCGCAACTATCCCATAGTTGTACACATCTCCTTTCTAATCACATAGCTGTACACATCTCCCCTCTATCGTATAGTTGTACACACCTTCCCTCTATCCCAATCTATCTCACATTTTACACATCTCCCCAATATCCCATAGTTCTACACACATGCCTTCTATCCCATATTGTCCCATAGTTGTACACACCTCCTCTCTATCCCAAATTTGTAATTCCCCTACACTATCTCATACTTGTACATACCTCCTCAGCTTCTGCTTGTGTGATCAAGCCTTTACTTAAACACATTGATATCAACATCTCGTCACAGTTGACATTTTTCACCAATAACTCCAGATGAAGTGTCAATACGCCTTGATCGTTAGCATGGGCAACACTCTCTTCGGTGTCTTCGTCAAACAACGTCCTTCTCACTAGGTCATGCTCTACGGAAGGTAGAAGGTGTCATTCAGAAGCCACGAGTAGTAACTAATCGTCAGTGGGTACAGTTAGAGGGTGTCATTACAGGTTGTCGTTACAAGGTGTCGCTAGAATCTGTCGTTAGAGGGTGTAATTACAGGTTGTCGCTAGAAGGTGTCGCTAGAATCTGTCGTTAGAGGGTGTCATTACAGGTTGTCGTTACAAGGTGTCGCTAGAATCTGCCGTTAGAGGGTGTCATTACAGGTTGTCGTTAGAAGGTGTCGCTAGAATCTGTCGTTAGAGGGTGTCATTACAGGTTGTCGTTAGAAGGTGTCGCTAGAATCTGTCGTTAGAGGGTGTCATTACAGGTTGTCGTTACAAGGTGTCGCTAGAATCTGCCGTTAGAGGGTGTCATTACAGGTTGTCGTTACAAGGTGTCGCTAGAATCTGTCGTTAGAGGGTGTGATTACAGGTTGTCGTTAGAAGGTGTCGCTAGAATCTGTCGTTAGAGGGTGTCATTACAGGTTGTCGTTAGAAGGTGTCGCTAGAATCTGTCGTTAGAGGGTGTGATTACAGGTTGTCGTTAGAAGGTGTCGCTAGAATCTGTCGTTAGAGGGTGTCATTACAGGTTGTCGTTACAAGGTGTCGCTAGAATCTGCCGTTAGAGGGTGTCATTACAGGTTGTCGTTACAAGGTGTTGCTAGAATCTGTCGTTAGAGGGTGTCATTACAGTTTGTCGTTATAATGTGTCTTTAGAATGTATTGTTTGAAGGTGTCGTTACAGAGTTTCGTTACAAGGTGTCATTAGAATGTGTCGTTAGAGGGTGTCGTTAGAATGTAATCAGTGAAAGGATCGAATAATCTCATCTCGACTAGCCACGATCACATTTTACAACGAATGGCTGAATGTTACCTGTCAACTAATATCCCTTAATGAGCTCAGTAAGAAGAAATTATAGCTGGTTAATAATGCTAACCCTTTCCCCACTGATGCTAAAGTTGCAAATATTTTATTACGCCTTTATCATTGTTTATCTGCCATAAAGCTCCAATCAGCCATATGGCCAGAATGCTAGTTAAAAATACACACAACATACCGGTGTATGTACTGTAGATATTTTCAACCTGAAGTATGTACAGACAGAGTAACAGTTGTATAATTTTGCTGGAAGGCTACCGGGTAACACTAACCTTAAGCAACCAAACAACAAACCCAGAAAATATATACAAAACTTCAAAAGTATTTTTTTTTTAAAAATTTCTGCAGACTTTCTTCGCACAAAGCATTTTGATTTTTTTAAAACGATTATTTTCTCCTTTTAACTGCGGTGAAACAACTTGTTTTGAAATTTAAAATACAAAATATTTATATTTTATATTTTTTAATATATTTTTAAAATTTCCTTTTCTTATTTCCCCGGCACTAACTACCCAACACCCCCAGCCACTCACTCGACACAGCATTCAGGAGCTGTAACTCTGTGTAAGCAACTCAGATGAGACCTAACAGGCCAGCACGAAAAATACTGAGTTGATCGAGCGAGTGGATCACGTGTGGCAACAAAAAAATTATTCTCGGACAAACCCTCCATGGATTTTGCAGTTACAAAGTAATCTATAAAAAAATACATGATTAATATTTAATAGAAAAGTAAATTTATATCTGTTGGCAGTCGTTCAAATAAAATAATATATAATATACGGGGGAATGCATTCAGTCCATCTAGTAAATCAATAGTGGAACAATACATGTTTAGGCAGGGGAAAAAAATCAAGACAATTAAGGCGGACCTGATTGCTAGACGCTTTCTTTAGCATGACAACACAATACAATAAACAACAGATCCGTTTAAATTAAAGCATAAAACATAAAATAATGTCAAATCTTGTCAACAAATGATTGGAAGTAGTGATCAACGTCACCTGGAGCTTCGAGGGCCTCTTTTAAAACGCGCCCTTTGCCTGGGTCTTTTGACTCCAGAAATGCATTGATGAAGCGGCTGGCAACGGTTTGCCTCTCTTCTGTTTCTTTGGCCATGATCTCAAACTCCAATTCATCTATTGAAAACAAAGAAGCAAAATTTGTAATGCCATTTCAACTGATAAAAACTAATCGCAATTCGGATTCCTTTTTTTTTAAATGGTAATCATCAGCATAATTTTTTTCCACATTAAGAGCATAAACACAGTTTGCATGACTTTAAAACAAACGTCTCGTTTTCAAAAAAAAAAATGTATAATTGTATTTACCAAGAAAATTAGTCTCCACTTTAAATAATTAAACTGTTTCAATTAATTCTAGATTTTTTTTGTTCGTTATTTATTTTTTGGCAGCCATTTCTATCTTGCTCTGTAACATATTTATCATAGCACAGTTGGCACTCACTCATACTAACAAATTTTTTAAGAACTCGCCAGTTACCTGAAATGATTCCTCTAAAACTGTGACGACTTGTTAACAACTCAAATATCCTTAGGTTTTGAACCAAGTATGGGTAATTTTCCCTGATGACCTCTTCCACTCTGTCAACACTTCTGTATGGTGAGTTGGATGCCATGGCCATACTGGACCCTCTAGTTCACATGTGAATAAATCATGGCGGCAATGTTACATTAGAGAACTATGCGTTCACGGGAGTAAGAAGTGGAGGGAATATAAACATATAAATGTAGGCCACAACAAGATGGTGGTATAATATACACAAAAGGCATGGAGAGGGATGGGCGCCGCCATGCGACAACTGGCCTACATACGCTACATGTACAGGAGAACAGATTCGCAATCAGTACCGGATCGGCCGTCTCCCGGGTTACCAAAGACCGCGCCTAACGTCGTTGACCGGGACGGAGGTGGAAAATATGCTACTGGTCAGGCAAGAAACAGTATCAGTGCCAGGAATAACATTACACTAGGTACCTGGAACGTGAGATCGTTGAGAGAAACGGGCAAGGTGGAGGAATTAGTTCATGAAATGAGCAGATACAGATGGGACATCCTAGGTCTGTGCGGAATGAGATGGAAAAACTTTGGAGAAATATCGACCAAGGAGGGCCACATACTGTATTTTAGTGGACGGGAGGACACACACGAACAAGGAGTTGGCTTCCTCGTCCATAAAAACATTAAGAACAGTATTATGAGCTGTCGACCGGCTTCGAGCCAGCTCATCACTCTTCGTCTAAGGGCAACAACCTTCAACATCACCATCGTGCAGGCGTCTGCACCAACTACAGATTATAGAGACGAAGATGTTGACGACTTCTACCACCAGCTACAGGATGTGATAAACCAAACACCCAAGAAGGACGTTCTCGTTGTTCAAGGTGATTGAAATGCCAAGGTAGGAGAAGATGCCAATGAAAACTGGAAAGAAACGTGTGGACGCCACTGTAACGTAACTTCAAACGAGAGAGGTCTGAGGCTTTTGGAATTCTCCAGCTTCAACGAACTCATTCTGGCCAACACATTGGGTGAACATAAAATGTCCAGGAAAACCCCATGGCACAGCCTCAATGGGAAACACCACAACCAGATTGACTACATAATGTTGCAAACAAGCTTCCGGTCTACTATAAACATTGCCAAGACTCGCAGTTTCCCTGGAGCTGACATCGGGAGCAAACACGACCTAGTCATGATGACCTTTAGACTGCACTTAAAGAGGGTAAACTAAAAAGGAAATACCAGAATCAAATTCGACCTTGAAAACCTGAAGGATCCTAAAGTAGCAGAAGCCTTCCAAGCAATACCAGGGGGAACATTTGCAGCGCTTGACATCATAGATGTCGACTGTTCAGACATAGACACATTGATTGATAACTTCAACACAGCTGTGACGGACACAGCTCATGACATCCTCGGTAAACATCGACCAACCCGAAAACCATGGGTGACAGCCGACATACTTAATCTGTGTGATAAACGGAGGCAGTTAAAGAAAACAAAAATGGTAAATATAGAGTGGGCCATTAAATATAGGACAGTTAATCAAGCCATCAAAAAAGGTATGAAAAACGCAAAGAAGAACTGGACTGAAGAGCAATGCTACGACATTGAAAACTGCTTGAAGAAAAACAATTGCAAAAAAGCTTACCAGTTGGTGAAAGAACTAACCACAGCAAAACAAGGGCGTAGTACTACCATACAGGATAAAAATGGTATATGTTTGACCGAAGAAAATGATATCATCAAACGATGTGCTGAATACTGTTCAGAGCTTTATAGTGAAAGTATTAAGATAAACCCAGTGATTCTTAATGTCCCTCCAGCAACACACAATGATAACTACCCTATTCTCCGCGCAGAAGTAGAAGCAGCAGTCCAGGCACTCCAAACAGGAAAGGCCGCAGGCGTGAATAATATCCCTGCCGAGTTGATGAAACAAGGATGGGAAGCAATGATAAGTGCCCTATTCAATATTTGTAACAAAATATGGCTTACAGGAGAATTGCCCAAACCATGGCCCCAATCACTCATCGTCACCCTCCCCAAAAAGGTAACCTACAGCTATGCCAAAACTATCGCACAATTAGCCTAATAAGCCATCCAAGCAAGGTCATGCTGAAGATCATGTTGAACCGACTAAGACCATATGCCGACAGAATCATTGCTGAAGAACAGGCGGGCTTCAGACAAGGACGGGGCACTACTGAGCAGATTCTAAACCTACGAATACTATGTGAGAAATATGCTCAACACCAACAAAATCTATACCACGTCTTTGTGGACTTCAAGAAAGCATTTGACAGGGTTTGGCATGCTGCTTTATGGGCCACCATGAGGCACTACAACATCAACACAAACCTAACCACCATGATATGCAACCTCTATGATAGGGCCACCAGTGCAGTCTTCCACAACAACAACATCGGGGAATGGTTCAACACCACGCTTGGAGTACGACAAGGCTCCCTGCTCTCCCCCACCCTATTCAACATCTTCCTAGAGAGAATTATGTCAGATGGTCTGGAACCGCATGAAGAAACAGTCAACATTGGTGGCAAAACAATCACCAACCTATGCTTTGCGGACGACATAGAGAGAATTATGTCAGATGGTCTGGAACCGCATGAAGGAACAGTCAGCATTGGTGGCAAAACAATCACCAACCTATGCTTTGCGGACGACATAGATGTGCTGGCTGGGAACGAAGAAGATCTAGCAACCTGGTAAAGCTTCTCGATAAGACCTTGTCCTCCTACGGCATGCCAATCAATGCCGAAAAGACAAAGCTGATGACAAATAATACCGCAGGCATCACCACTGAAATTAAGGTAGGGAAAAAAAGATTAGAGACTGTCGGCCGCTTCAAATACCTAGGAGCAATAGTCTCAGAAGAAGGCTCCAAGCCCGAACTGATGTCCAGGATTGCGCAGACTACAACAGCACTAAAAAAGCTCAAGAAAATTATTGAATGACAAAAATATAGCCCCCAGCACCAAAATCAGCCTGATGCGCTCATTAGTCCTCTCCATTTTCCAGTATGCCGGCGAATCATGGACACTAACAGCCGATCTTGAAATGAAAATAAAGGCGATGGAGATGAGATGCTTCAGAAGCATTTTGGGCATTTGCTATAGGGACCATATCTCCAATGATTCAGTGAAAGAAAGGGTTCGCCAGGCAATTGGGGAGTACGATGACCTACTTGTGACTGTGAAAAAACGCAAATTACAATGGTACGGCCATGTAACAAGGAGACTAGGGCTTGCCAAAGAAATATTTGCAGGGCACCACAAGAGGAGGGAGAAGAAGAGGAAGACAAATTTAAGAAAAGGGTGGGAGGATAACATCAAAGAGTGGACAGGACTAGCACTGGGCGATGTAGTGCGTAGTGCTGAAGACAGAGACGAATGGATGAGGATGGTTCACATGTCATCTTTGGCGGCCCAACGGTTCAAGGACTAATGGACATGAGGATGAGGATATATTTATATATTGTATGCATCGTTTAACAGGAAATTCTTTTAACTACGAAGAAATATTTCTGTCCCCTCAGTCTCGTGCTAAACGTTTTTCACTGCACCTTCCTCCAGCGGAAAAACTGTTAATCAAATGATTTAAATTTTTTACTAAAATTGTTTTAAAGAAGATTCTTTCGATTAATTAGATCAATTTTAGAAGTGTTGCATTCAGTTTGGCAGTTACTGTGAGTCTAGAAAAAGCTATTGTTATCATATTTATGCATCATGCTCTAAAGAGGTCATACCCGCTCCATCTGCAAGGTTAACTGATAAATAGCGTGCACTCTCCAGTACAACAGCGTTAGTTCCGCTATAAGCAGTTTTTCCTAATATAGTCAGGCGTGTTCTTGCCTGTGTGTATGAACCATATGCTGGATATGTCATAACACAAGCTGTCGGCGGTACTACACCACTGACTCACTGACTACTGTGTTAATGAAATTGTTTCGGGATCTATAAATACACAACACACCGGTGAATATCAGACGACTATCGGATGAATTAGATACAAAAATAAGAAAAATCTTTAGAATCGCGATACTTTTAACATAGACTCCATTGTAGATCTCACCAATAAACTTCCCAGCTCACTAAAACTCATAACACTTGTGTTTAACATTGCGATCGTTGGACGTCTTACTTTGAAATCAAATGATTCCTGGTGGATTCCTAGTTTATTGAACTGAAAATGTATGCTTGTTTGGTTGAAGCCATGATCTGATTACCATGTTTTAGATCCATATGTGTAGCGTTACCGCTTTCTTTCAACCAATCTATGTCTGAACGTACTCACAAGGATCTTTGGGGATTCGTCTTTAAAAAAAATATTCCAGATCTGATATTATAAGTAAAAGCTCATTGTATTTATTACTAGGGGCAACCAGGGCTAAGTCACCGTACTGTAGGGTGACCACACGTCCCTTAAAAACGGGAATGTTTCGTTTGTTGACGATAGTACCCGGTGTCCTGAAAAAGTCTTTCGGGACGCCTAAATATCCCGTTTCTAAAACCAAACACTTTCTCATATCACTCAAACTTCCTCATTTATAACATAACATTAAGTAAAATTTTGGCTAGCTTTGAAGCCAGTGCCAGTGGTAATGTGGGCTCGGTTGATGACTGCACTGTTCCCCCTTCACAACGCTGAAGGCGCAGCATAATCGATAGTGCCCCTTCTATAGATCCAATTATGTTGTAAAATATGTATAGATAATAAGTATTCACTGCAAAATTATTGATTTCGTTTATGATATACCTCAAAGTTTAAGTTAAAAAAAAATAATTTAAATGTAACTTTAAAAAGATGGCTAGGTCTCAAAATAGTTGAAATGAGCACAGTTCAGTAAACAGTTTCCGGCGGAGACCTCCGCTCCCCTCTTTCGCTCCCAAAACCCTCCTGGGGAGTGTAACAATTTTATCCATTTTAAGATTTGGTCACCCTACCATACTAGTTAGTTTATCAATGTATTTATTACTAGGGACCACCAGGGGTGAGTCACCGTACTAGTTAGTTTATCAATGTATTTATTACTAGGGACCACCAGGGGTGAGTCACCGTACTAGTCTGTTTGTCAAATAGCAAAACGAGGTATGTGGAAGGGTTGAATTTGAGAACGGGACAAAAATATTAGAACGTTTCGGCACAGAGCCTTCTTAAGCGCACAGCACAAATGAAAATATCACAAAGAACAGAGCACAGTAAACAACTCAAGAAATATCCATTGTTGTCGCCGTAAGTGGGACATTTTTTCGTGTTCTCAAATTTTCAAACTTTCAAATACCTTGTTTTGCTGTTACATTTACTGGTCTTGAATGCAGTCCTTTAATTATCATAACTAGTTTATCCCAACGTTCCCTTAATTTTAATTTTTTAAATTTAAATTTTTTTTTTTCGTGACCCGGTATCCGTTTTTTTTAAAATTCTTTCGACGACCCGGTAATTTCGCTTTCGTGACCCGACATTTTGGAGACGCTGGTTCATCCTATACCTTGACTGCACCACTTCATTTCATCGATACTGGTCTACAGCGTTATTCTTTATATTTTTTTTTTAAATTTCTGACCTAATCAATATATGCCATTAATACCACCAAGGTGAGGAGTAAACAGAAAGAATCCTAACTGAGTCACATACGTTTTCCGGCAATAGTTACTGTTCAGATATTTTATTGTTCGTCCACCACCCCCCCCCCCAACCGCCCCGCCTTAAATTAATCGAGTGCAGTATCCAACTAAATATATGCCATTAATACCCCCAAGGTGCGGAGTAAACAGAAAGAATCCTAACTGAGTCACATACGTTTTCCGGCAATAGTTACTGTTCAGATATTTTATTGTTCGTCCACCACCCCCCCCCCAACCGCCCCGCCTTAAATTAATCGAGTGCAGTATCCCACTGTCAGATGGTGTTTTCTTTTTAAATAAATTTATTAAACCAGTTTTCCATTTTAAACATAAACTTAAGGTGAAATGCTGTGTCCTATGTATAGACTTACCTTTCGTGGGGCAACATAAAGGTGAAAACAAGGTAAGTACCAAATATCGGTTGTAAGAGATCAATAACTTTTCTTCACTGGGTACCTGTAGCAATGGGTGATCAGAAATCCTGGTCGCAAAATACCGTTTCCATAACGAATGATGGCTTCGATAATAAAACAAAGAATACTACAGGTCAGATGCGAGTAACGCCTGTTTCTTTAGTACTGTATCGTCCTTTCACACATGACGTGATCCAAAGAGATATGAGACGGAGTGCACTACACAACAACTACACACGCAGCACAAACTGAAACAACCCGATACGGGGAATGCATTGCGCTATTATTGGATTTCCGGGATTTGCAGATTTTCAATGACTTTCTAAGGACTAAGCGACGCTTAGTGAATGAGGATTTTCCACTTGATAATATTTGGAAAAGCGGGGGG